GTCACATATGAATTCAAGTATGATGAGCCAAAGCAAATTGTCTTCTAAGAGTGTAAGTCACTAGTTTCATCTCAATATTATATCCATTCTTTGTACAACAATATGATATTTACCCATTTCACAAAGTCTGTAATGATACGATTTCAATTTGATTCAATTCAGGGGCCTGCAACCAATGTGAGATCATAAGATCATTTGACACACATGAATAATCTAAATAATTGTGACCTGTTAAGTGCAGTGAAGTTTAAATTGACTCCACTAACACATATAAAACAGGAAATGGGATAAATCAACCTTCAGGTCTTTCTGCCAAAAAAAAAACCTTTCTGGAAGAAATGTTTTCTTTTTAATCCAAATCATAACCTTTTTTTCCTAAAACTTCCAAGACTATCTGGCTTAAAGCCCTGAAGGCACAATTCTCCCCACAGCCATAAAACAAGATAATTTAACAAAAGTATAAAATTTAAATCAATAATAACTGTCAAGGTTCACAGACAAAACAATTGTTTTTTGCTAGCCATCCAAGTTTAAGCACTTTTACATTGCATCATTTAGCCTAGCGGCTAGTGGAGTTTTCCTCAATTTATAGCCTAACTAATTACATGTATTATTTATACTTTTCTTACTCACTGTTGGTTTAAGTCACTGCATCTCCTGACAGAACTCGGCAATTGAATTTTAGCCTGCATGCACGTTTTTTTTAGCCCAACATTGTTAAAACTGAGCAGCTGATGTTGATGCCAGACAGGAACAGATAGAGATGCCCGGCCAGGCAGGTATGTCGTGTTTCCTGGATGCTTTATCTCATAAGAGTATTGTTTACTCACGGCATGTGCTTTGTCTGTTGACCTGTATTTTCTCAGAAATCCAAAATAATCCCACTCTGCTGCTTTACTCCTGAGTAAATAACATTATCCTTACTTACTTTCTCTTGGCTGCTTGCCATTTAATGCCTGCTGCTGTTCAACAGTGACAAAAAATTTCAAAATAAAGGTGTACCCTAAAGACGATGATATGGATGATATTGGATTGTTGACCATTGAATCTTTACAACCCTTTGGTCTACCCTGCGGTTGGTTGCTTAGTTACAAAAATTACTACAGAGATGGCAAATAGTAAGAACAGCGATTTCTTTGTTTGGACTGATCATGAGTTGAACTGTTGGTGGTCAGGGTGGAGGAAAATAGATTGGGAGTCATTAAAATGCAAATACAGCATCATATCAGAGCAGTACAGGGAGCATTATCAATCGCCAGAGGAAACCATGGCAATGTAAAAGAAGTACCTACACAATAGGTGTTGAAATCAAAAATGGCATGTAGACCTAGCTATAATGTTTTGGCTTGATACATTGTGACTGATAAGACCCAATCAGGAGGCGAACTTGGGTTTCTGCATTATCATTTTCAAGAGTCTCTGTTTCTGCCCGTCCAAACTAAAATGAACCAGGGAATTTTCAAACTATAACGGGATCAGCAGCAATTTTTAAGAGGTCTCAATTATTGGGGTTCCAAACCATCGGAGTAGTGTGGACTCTAGGCGTAAACGCAGCAATAGTTATGTGGTTTAATACAAAAACATAAGTATGGAGGTAGCCTTAGGGCCTGTGTTCACTTATCGTTTTTTTCTTCTGTTAGCTACCTGAATTATGATAGTGTCTAGATATTGTCATAGAAACAAAACCCAGGCACAGCACATCATTTAAAAAAAGCACCGCCAAGTTGCTATTATAACCACCTGTCTCTGACAGGGAAATGATTGGAATGGGGCATTTGCTAGCCTGTCATTGGAGACTTCATCTTCTGTTGTTGAGAATAGCTGCATTAAAATAAAGACAAACGCCACCATAAATGTCTGTTGAGTTCATTTAGTGTTGCTGTGGTTCAGCGCTGTCACTGCATCACCTATAAAGTCTAATTAGGCAAAGCCATGTTTGGAAGGTAGACGGCTCGGCCTCTTTAAAATAATAAAAACCTTTAAAGAGCTGCCAGCAGACACAACACATGATGACTCTGCCATCCTTGTATTTAGACACATCCCAGACTTGTCCACACATGACCACTGAACAAACACTTAGCATCTGTGTGTGCTGCTGAGCACAATCAAAAAAGCAGCATTAATGCATCCATTTTGAGGTTTTGTGTGTGTGTGTGTGTGTGTGTGTGTGTGTGTGTGTGTGCGCGTGTGTGTGTGCGCGCACGGATGTCTTTGTCTGGAGCACTGCAGCCCAGGAGGAGGGAGGGGGCAGCTGGTGTTGGTGTCGGGGCGGGGGTAATGAGTGAATGTGATCAGGCTTCAGTAGTCTGCATGCCATTAGCACCACCCCACTACCTCCACCCTCCCACCTCCTTCGCTCTCTGATCACACACAAGACAGAGACTGGGCTCACAGGCTGGATTAGGGTGGGGTGGAAGGGGGCGGGGCGGGGCAGGCACCACGTACTGAGACGATACTACTGGAAATTACAGATAGAGATTATTATTATTATGTCTCACCAAAGAAATAACTCCAGTGGGGTGTGGGATCATTTTACTGCCACACAATTTGATTCAGGAGTGTGTGCCTGTAAAACCTGAGGTGAAACCTGCCTCCCCACACATCGTTGAAATGAGCTGAGAAGAATATATGACATGTTGAAGTAACAGCTGGAGACTGCTGACTTTAACCACCTTACTTTTCACAAGCTTCATAATCCAAATAGTGAAGGCCCTAATTCTAAACTACTAAGACAATACGGTTCGATTACTGATACAATATGAATGAAGGTTAAACTGGAAATAGAGGCGATGTGGTCTGCTTGAGAAAGGACATGTTGTATGTTTTTAATCCCACTCGTGGTTGCACAGTGGTGTTACAGAGTGGAGGGTCATCTCTCAGAAAATATATTTGGCAGAGGACAAGTCTGGCTCACAGGATGTAGACTGTGGGTATAAAGCCTGTCACTGGCTGTCTACTTCAGATGACCAGTTTAAAACCACCGTTGCCATGTGAAACTAGTGGTGCATAGCCGTACCTAACTCCACACTTGACATGACATAACAACAACTACAACGCTAGCGACCTACAGGGTAAAACATCTTTTAATGTGTTAGAGTTTTCTTTTTATGGAGATCAAGGTATTTTAATGCCATTTGCATTAAGTTGAACCTTCTAAACTTACCCCGGTCTCACTGCTGAACACCTTGAGTAGTGGTGCAAAGCACCAGCATGTTTTTCCAAGTTTCAGTTAACAATGTCATGTCTGCAGTGTTTTGAGTCCGTAACTGAATCTGTGATAAATCTTTTTTTAAAGGCTTTGTTATCCCAACAAGATTACAAACCTTAAACACACACACTGAATACATGTAGTTGTTGTTTGTTGTCATATGAAAGTTAAAATGTAATAGAACAGAGATTCTGAAAATGTGTGTATAACATAAATAAAACAGAATGCAGTGATTTGATTTGCAAATTCTTTTTTGACCTATATTCAATTGAATACAGTACATACACCCAAATAGCACTAATTAAAATTATGTGTCTGATACGAACGCTGGGACAATGTTATGGGATCTTGTTGGGGGCAATTAAGTGTTATATGAGGGAGTGCATCTTTAAACTAACAGAGCAGTCCATTCTAGTCTTAATTACATTGGCAAAAATTAAGAGAAAATATGTTCTTCAACGACATGTTGACATTTGTGACTACTGTATATCTCCATACAAAATTATTGATGAAAAACAAAAAAGCTGAAGTGTTTGGGGCTACATTATCTGCTCAGATTCAACCAAATGCTTCAAAACTCATTGGACGATGCTTCACAGTGCAGATGGACATTGACCTGAAGCATATTGCAAAAGCAACCAAAGCCATTTTTAAGGCAAAGAAGTGGAATGTTGTGCAATGGCCAAGTCATATCATCTGACCTGAATCCAACTGAGCATGCGTTTCTCTTGCTGAAGCCAAAACTGAGGGCAAAACACCCAAAACACCCAAAACACAAGCAGGAAGTGCAGATGGCTACAGTAAAGGGCTGGCAGAGCATCACCAGGGAAGAAACCCAGCATCTGATGATGCCTATGTGTCCAACACTTCAGGCAGTCATTGACTGTAAAGGATTTGCAACCAAGTATTAAAACTGACTGTTTAATTGATGATTACGTTAGTTTGTCCAAATACTTATGAGCCCTTAAAGTCGGGGGACTGTGTGAAGAAATGGTTGTCATTCCTACACGGTTCATACTACATTTTTGAAAAAAGCCTTAAATGAAAGCTGAGAGTCTGCACTTTAAGCAGGTATTCATTGTTTCATTTAAAACCCATTGTGATGGTGTACAGAGCCAAAATGACAACAACTGTATCATTGTCCAAATAATTATGGACCTGACTGTATATATATATATATATATATATGTATAAACGAAACAATTGAGATTAAGGGAGTGCACACCAACTGAGGGAAAACTATTTTATTCAGACATTGGAAGTTCATCTGCAACAGTTTAATTGCTTGAAAAGTCATTTGGTGTAAGGCCAACATTTATCTAAAAATAGCTTACAAAATGATCACTGTAACATAAAGCTGTGTAATCACACAGAGCAAAGTTAGCCCGGGCAGCATGTCTGTGTGGATTTAGGATCTAACACTCGTTACAATCACTTTAAAGTGGCCTTTTTTTAATACGTATTGATTTTTATAAAAGATATTATGACCACAATTTAATACCTAATATTTTTGTATTGCACTAATAAACAGCTGTCCCATTAACTCTTCCTTTTCCAGACAAGTATTCAGAACCGAGCCTTACACAAAAGTGATGGTCTTACTTTAACCCCAGAAGCAGGCCTTGGTGCAATTTACCACATAAAAGCTGAAGAGGTGCTTTGAGGCTTTTATGTGAAACACAATAGGGAACGGGCTCATTAAAGGCAGCGAGCCATATCATACCTGCTCTCACACTGTAGAAAACAAGAGGGGAGCTAAGGGGAGCTTTTGGGTTCCGTGGCTGCTACTTACTTGCGTTGCTGTCAGCCAGGGTGTTGAGGTTTCCTGAGATGTCTCGCCTCCTGAACAGACACACCACCTTCGCCTCCACATTCCCATTGGCTGTCTGTAAGTGGAGAGTCACAGGTTACAGGCTTGCTTCATAATAAAGCACAGGTATAACTACCTCTGTTAGAGCTCCTGTCAGAGGTCTGTAGCTACTGTACCACTCATTGCTCCATGCCTTCAGCCATGCCACATGGTTTGTTTCACTTCTTACACTAAGGGTTAATCAGAGACACCATCTAGGGCTCAGTATAATTTCCATTTGATTCAGATCTTTTATGATTTCGGTTTTGCTTTTCAGTTGTTTTCCTCAGTTTGTGTTCTCTGCATATTATTTGAGTGAGGCAAAAATACAATGTAGGTAAAACCCACTTTAATCATCAGCAGCTGTGGGCCCATCATATCTTTTTTAAAGATATTTTTTGGGGCATTTTTAGCCTTTAATTGATAGGACAGACAAGTGTGAAAGGGGGAGAGAGAGAGAGGGAGTGACATGCAGCAAAGGGCTGGAGTCGAACTGTGGCAACAGCCAGGTACATGGGGCGCCTGCTCTACCACTAAGCCACCGACGCCCCGGTCCATAATATCTACACCAGCCACTCACAATCAACAAGTCCTACAGGTAGCAAAGTCTGTGCTCTCATGTGCTCTGTGCAAAGCTGGAATCAAGTTAGTTGCACTTAAAGGGTAATGTTGCATTCACACTATGCAGTCCCTCTAGGATTTTGTGGGCTGTTCTTAGGATTGTTGCCAACAGCTGTCGTAAAAAACTGCGATGCATGTTGCGATGTTTATAGGAGAGGTTTTTTTTTGCAAAGAAATGAGAAAAAAGGGGAAAATTGCAAAAATAGATGTGATGCTGTCTCAGATTCGGAGCTTATTATTATGTGCATTTACTTTTTACTACAGTATTAGACTATGTGTGATGGTGGTGGGGCAGTGATAGCTGATCACCGCCGATCAGCTCTCAATGCCTTATTATGTAGCAGTGAAGGACCATCCCCATGAGAGGCTCTCCTCCTACATCCTCTACCCATTCAGAGTTAACACAGCGTAAGGTGATCTCATCACTACTCATCATATTTTGCTGCTTGACTTAGCTGTTTCACCTTTTAACAACCGTCTTTAAAAACATTAAAGTAACTTCAACTCGATGCAGACTAGGGCTGGGCAATGTCAATACTATATTGAATTTGTCATATGAGACTGAATACTATCTTGGAGTTTAGATATGGTAATATGGTAGATGTTGTCTTCTCCTGGTTTTCAAGGATGCATCACAGTGAAGTAATGCCACTTTCTGAACTTACCAAACTGTCCTAGCTATTATATTATTTGTCTTTACCCACTTAGTCACTATGTCCAGATTACCAATGATTATTTATCAAAAATCTCATTGTGTAAATATTTTGTGAACTTACCAATAGTCAATCCTACAATACATTACTGGGTGTCCAGTTGGTGATTGTCAAACTAACCTTAGCCTGCTGTTAGAGTGTTTGCTCTCTTCTCCTTGTGTGATGACATTTTCCTCACTCAGATCAGCTTAGTAAGTTGATGACAGTGTATGTGGCCTTTGTTGTGTGATGTAGCCCCTCTGCTCTTTTCTCTGAAGCTTTATGATGTTTTTTGGAATCAATTCCTCCACAGTTCATATCATGGCACGACAATTTCAAACCACATGAAGCTGTAAACTGGTTTTATGATAAAGGCTACGATATGACACCCCCCCTTGGTAGTAGCACTTTGGGTTTGATAGATGATGAGGGGTTTCCTTCTCCCTGGATTGACTGTGATCATAAGAGGAGAGAGAGCATCAGCAGCACACACACAGTGCTCCCCTGCACATTCTAGCCTGGAGCTGGAGAGCTGGCCACTCTCTCTCTCCCTCTCCCTCTCTCTCTCACTATCCATTCATTGTGCTCAGCAGCCATTAGCACTCAGGACGATGCAGTCCTCCTGGTGCTCAGCACAAGCCCTTCAGTGTAAGAGCGTTACATAAATGAGCTTAATCCTTTGACTGGGAAACGAGCCTGTGTCATATGCTGCTGCTGTTATATAAGTGGCTCCTGTACCAGTGTCCTGTGATTACAGTAACCAAGGTTTACCATGAGCAGTGCCCAGGAAAGACCAGGGGAAATGTGTGTTAGTGTGTTTAGAGTATGTTAACAGGAACAATATTAGAAAGTCCTAATACAATTTTAACACACCAGCCAGTCGATCTGAGTGTTCTGTGTCTATGGTATACGAGCTATAAAAATACTGGCTCAAAATACCACACACATATATATATATGGTGGTGCACATAAAATTTCAGCTGTGCAAGTAATATTCAGCTCTACAGGCACCAGTGCACGTAACTTGGTACCGAGAATATGTTGTGCAAGGCTGTCAGCTCTCAGGCACTAACCATGAGAATCACACAATCAACACTTTTCATACACTCTCATGCTACGCAGCCATTTTCTCTCTAAGTGAAAAACAAGTTTATAACCGATAACATCGCAGGGTGAATACAGGACACTGAAAGCGCACAGAGAGACAAGACAGAGCAGCACAGCAAAACAGCAGCACCGTGTACGGGCCTGATGCACCAGGCCAACTGCCCGCCATCAGTAAGCACCTGTCCCTCTACTTTTGTGGTGCGTCCCACAACACAGGAACTAGTTGGCAGCTTTTTGATTGATTCAGTATGTTGAATCGGTGGCAGAGACCATCAGTATATGGTCTGATTGGCAGTTCAGCTCAGCGGAAAAGAGAAACAGCAGTGAGGAAAGCAAACAAACAACTTTAAGTCAAGAAGGCTTGAGATCAAAACAAACTTGTTACAATTACTATTTTTGGAGCATTTTTGGGCACAGACAGAGCAGCAGGAAGTCAGGCGCAGTGAAAATTAAACTTAACCGTTGTTTGCGCTAGGTCTAAAAGTTTCTCTGCAGCAGCTGAGGTTCTAAAAGTTCCTCTGCACAGGCGATGTGCGGCGACTCAACAGTTGGCCTTTGTCAGCGCTAGTTTTTTGTTATCGGTTTGATGTGTCTGGGCCTTAAAGCCCGATCGAGCCAGCTGCTACTTGGATTTTGATGCATGTCTATTCGTACTGTTACAGTATTGATACTTTGAGCGGCCAAAAGCACAAAGAAAGACTTACATTAGAGCAATTATTTATTACACAACAAATGTTAAATAACTCTCATTGTATGTGTGATGTCACCAAATTAGTCCTAATATGATGGAAACATTTCTGTATTGGGCTTGCTTAAAATGCCCCTATGACCATTTACAATTTGAAGTACTTTCACTTAACATTAATGTACAGGGAATGTCAGCTCAAATGATAACATAACACAATGAAAATTTTTGCATTTTTAAACTATTAAATTAAGAAAATTTTGCCTTAAGAGGTTTGCAGTCTGTGACCATGTAAAAAGTTATTTTACTGTAACATTTTTGAAAAAACTGAAGGGAAAGTCAAATCAAATTACATTATCACCTCATATTTGAACCGTCACAAAGAGGAAAATGTCAATGTTGGATTTCTGCCTTGGCAGAAGTGCAGAGAAGGAAGGACAAACCACACACACCACATCCTTTTAAAAGTTACATGCAAATATATTTAATATTCCGAGCCCTGTAGATACATCAGAAACAGCTTTTAAATACAAACCTGAGAGGTTGAAGGGAAAAAGAGAGAAAACCAACCTTGTTGAGCTCTTCTATTCTACGGATCAGGTAAGGGTTGCTGGATGAGTTCTCGAAGTACACATAATCTGGAAAAAAACAACAACAGTAAAACAAGATAAGACTCATGCTGTGTTCACAGTGGAATATTCACAACAATGAATGAACATACCTCCTAAAGTAAACACTAACTATACTAAGTGTAATGAATATCGCTCTGACAATACATTTTACATCAGCCCCACATACACATTAGGTTTGTCCTCCGAAAGTTCAGGTTTCCTCTGAACAGGCACCAACACACGGCTTTGGCTGTAACTGCAGAACTGAAGAGATTTTGGCAAACTGATGGAAAAAGTCCATTCTACCACACACAGCTCTAATTGGAAGCCTGGCCGTACAACACTGAGAAGCTGTTAAGAGAACCAGACCCTGCCAGCTCAGTAAATGGACTGCTGTAATATGAGCTGCAGGAAAGTTCTCTATCCAGGCCACAGACTCACTTAATGTGATATGATCAACTCATTTGAAGCGTAAACTGGGGTTAGAGGTTAGTGTTAAAATCATCGATATGCAAGTACTAAGTGTGTCACTTGCACCACCACATAACATTTTCCCCCTCTCCTGTGACTGCTTGGTTTTTGTGTTGTTGAATTTTATCCACAATTTTCTATTCAAATATATTTTCCAGGAGTCAGGTTTGGAATATTCACATGAAAATCAAAACAAGCAAGAACCAAGAAATTAGATACCATCGATATACAGTGATTCCAACTAGAGTGTGTGACAGTAGCTTGTCTTTGTGTCCCCCTGCCCTCTCTAAGGCCCTGTTTAGACGACAACAGTTTCTATAAAAACGATAAAGTCTGTCCTTTGCATTTTACAAAACTTCTGCGTTTATATGACGACATTATTGAAATGATCCCCATTCACACGGAGCTACAAAATCTACTGGAAATGCTGTAGTATGCACGCCAGGCCAATGGGTGGCAGTGTAAATTTGCAAAGCAACACCACAGCATGACGCCATGCGCCTGCACTGAAGCGCCTTCCTCTACAACACGGTGATTACAAACCAAAACAAAGAAGATACAATGGGGAAAGCATGCACAGATAACTTTGTCTGGATGGACGACGAGGTGGAGTTGCTACAGTAACAGATCTACACTTCGTTTCAAATCAACAGGGTGAGCAGCACAAACAGAGCTCGGCATTGTTGTTGTGACTGTCGGCATGCCTAATGACGGGAACCGTAATGCTCATGTGCGAAAAGTTTCCGTTTTCAGAGGAACTGCGTATTGCAAGTTTACATGACAACGGAGTCACTGCCGTTTCCAAAAAATTGCACTCTGGAACCCGTTTTCAAAACGTTGCATTTTCAGGCACCCAAAATGCCGCTGTCGTGTAAACGATCGGCCAAACACAACTAAAGTTTAATGTCTTCAGTTGAAATCGTTGTCGTGTAAACGGGGACCTTTATTCCAAGGTTTTTACAGGTCAGAGAACACAACGCAGGCAGAACTCTTAATGGTTGTTTTTTGGTTTGTTTTTACAGTAGCAGTAGTTGTGTTTGACAGTTTGAATCATGGAGTTGATACTTGATCATTTGATCTAATCAGAGCTGATAAGAACAATGGATAGGAGGAGCAGCTGCTGCAGTGGTGGATGAAAGCAAACTTTTAGACCTAGCTCAATGAACAGTTAAGTTTCACTTTTACTACGCCTGGCATTCTGTCGCTCAGTCTGTCCGCTCTGCATTCTGATAGTGTGGTGCAATGAATAACCTAACAGCACATATATTCCAACAGTACTCCTAATGAACGGTCCAGCTCCAAAAATTGAAAATGAATATGCTGTGACAGATGTTGATATCCTGGCAGGCTGACACACATAAGTGAATATGTGGGAAAGCCTGGTGTTACTGGAATACTATTTTGAAAATCAGTGGGACATGTGACTCAGCCCATGTCATCTATAGCTACCAAGCAGCTACTAGGGCTGTAAATGCTTTCTGTATTTGTACTGAACAGTGACAGTATGGGTGTCACGGTCTGGTGCATGCAGCTGCATGCCGAATACATGGTATGTAGACTGATGCACATAATGCGCAACCAAAGCACACAAGTGCAAGTCCACCCCGAAACTTTTAGCCATAAGTCATTAGCAACAAGTACTGAGGTTAGCACAACAAGTTCACTGCCGTCCAAGTCAGTCACATCAAGCACCAGAGCTAAAAGACCAGCCTACAGGTTCCCAGAGCAGCTACAACAGCACTAGAGAGAAATGTGTATGAGATGAGGACAATGTGTAGCCTTTGCTCCACGGTTGCAGGGTCTGTGAATGGAAACACATCCAACATGCTAAGGCTCATTAGACAGCATCACCCAGATGTGCTGATCACCAGGATGACAAATGTTGGAGTGCATTAAAAGTTCACATGTAGTGGAGATGGAACTAACTGTAATACTCCTTCCAATGCTCAAGTTTTATTTTTTATTGTGTGTTTTAGTATTTTCAGTGTCATGGCATAAGAGAGGCTTTTCAGTTTTAGAGCCTGTTGTGACCTGTTGCCTTTTGGGAAAGTATTTGTATAATATAATACACAAGTGTCTGAAATACTTAAGTTCACCAAAGTTGCCAGTGGACAAATTATTACCTCAGTCCCCAGCAAGAGGATCGTGTCTGTCTTTGACACTTGCATTACTGTCTTTTTAAAGTAAATAAAAAGAATGTATCTTTATACATTTGTGTTTTTTTCTGCTGAATCACCCTGCTAGCTACAGTCTGTAACCTGATTGGAAAGGAAGCCATGGTCTGTTAAGTGGCTGGAGTGGTAGTCTGTAACAACTTAAGACCAAACATCTAGCCAGCAGGTCACAGAGGCTACAATGTTTATGTCTCCAAAATCATCACTTATCAATCATCTTTCCCTGGGGACTAAGGATATCCAAAACAAATTGCATGGCAATCTGTCAGTTGACTCACTTTATGGAAAGCTGCAAGACCAAGCATGATAACAATATAACATCTGGTAAAATGCTGTTGCATTTGGTCACAACTTGTGGCATGGTTGATGACTGACACATTCAAAAAGTAGAGTAACTAAACTGCCCCTTAAAGTGAATAGGAGTCATCAGTAGACAAGACCCCAAGTCAACTCACATTTTGTCAGTCAAATGATTGCATTGTCTTTTTGTACATGGAGCAATGCAGAAGCGACAGTATAGCAGGCTGTAAGCTCTACAAACAAGTCTCGTCTCAAAATGACTTAACCACAAAACTGAGGCGGACGGCGCGAGGCCAGGCAGCGTGGTTGTGTCTGTCGGCTGCTCTGACGCTCTCAGCTCTGGTGCTGAATGTCAGTGAAGTCGGCTGCATTACTTTTGAACCAAGAGCTGGTAAAACCTCCTCTACTGCCGTTCAGTGTGACTGACTGTCGGGCTGACAGCCCTGTCAGCAGCCCAGCAGGAGAGACGTGTGGTTTATAACTGAACCATTATCATGACACATAGTTTTACTTTCTCTGACTGTGTGAAAATTAAGAAAGGCATTTAAACGCGAGTTTTATAGGTAAAACATGAGACTAACACAGGTTGATATAGGAGTGGGGTGACTGCTCTGCAGGTGCCATGAAATGACACTGGGCAGAGGAGGGAATAATCTATTTTATATTTGTTCGTGTATTTATGAAAGGACATCGGTCGAAATGTTGAGTGTTTAGAAGAACTAGAAATATCTATAGATAAGAAGAAGCATAAACCAATGGACCTCAAGGACATGAGCTGGATTTAGGGCTGGGCGATACGGCTTAAAAATAATATTGCAATATTTTTAGGCTATATATTGCGATAGATACACAATATATATCGCAATATTTTGAAATCTCCTCTGAAGTACTGTAGACTAATAAAATATAAAATTATTCAAATGAACAACATCTACAATAAAGTTACATAAGTACTGTTTTATGAAGTTAAATAGAGTACTGTTGATGAATAAAACAGTGTCACAATAAAGTTAAAGTACTGTTATAATGAAGTTAAATAATGTACTGCTTCATATTGCTCTGCTCTAAATTTAGCTGTTAGTGTGCAATTCTTCAGTTTTTTTGGATGCCTGCAGGGTCCAACTATAACGTTCACTGTCAACCCAACATTAAAGAATAAAGTAATTTCCCTTACTATTTAGTAGGATTTCTTAATCAAGAGGGGATGCAAGAAACATGTTTTAACTTCACGTAATACAATTAATTTTATTTTCACAATATATTTTTACTGTGTTAACATCCTATTTTGAAAAGCAGATGTAGACATATGAGTTTCAGTGCATTTACAGGTGGTTTGGCCACAGAGGTGCAATCGCTGGCTGGCTTGATAAAGAAACATCAGATACTGCCTCTCAACCACAGAGAGGCATAGCGGGATTTGACCAAGCCTGGCTGACCGAGAAGAATCTGCGGTCAACGTTCTCGCATCACCGTGGTCAAACCAACCGAGAAGACGCTGATGAGCTGGCCAAATGCATTTACTGCTACGACATAACTTTTTACACCTGGTTTGTGCGGAGGAGCTGAGGCCCACACCCGGTGAAACACAGACAGCAGAGGAAAGAAGCAGCATGCCCGCAATGACACCAAAACACCTGTGTTTTAAAGCTGATTGCATTTTTATTGTCAAAGTCCGCGATTCCGTCCATGTTTTCCACACTGTGCAAAGGACTTTATACTGGGGGTGGCAGCCTGCCCTGCCTGATTGATGGGGACTTACTGATTTCACTTATTTACTTTTATATAATAAATACAGATATTTAGAAATAAACATGGTATTTAAGGTTAAAATAATGTCCTGTAATCATGTTTAAGTGATGCTGATCTAGAGGAATACCCTGACTTTTTCTTCTGTCAAATAACACAAAGCCAGCATACATTGCACTTTCAGTCCAACAATGAAGGGGCTGAAACATCTGCTGCTTTCTTTGATAAAATGATTTTCTGATACTCCAGAAAAATAGAAATTTCAGGGTCCCTCAGAAATACTAGCGACTGCCTGCTGTTAAAAATGACATATTAATCAGTCACTGTTGTCTGCCT